AGCCTGACCTGCTATGCTTGATGAATTCCGCTCTCAAGTAAGGATTGATCGTTGAAAGAAGGACGGAGGAGGGCCTACGGTGACAAGGCTGTGTGTAGAGCGCGATCTTGTGAATCCAAGAGGATGTACTACGGCAATTACGGTGTCAATTCCTAGCATCGCTAGTTTTTGCTAGTTTTTTAAGTGAAAACTTGGGTGGCAAATCGGGGCCGCGAGGATCGTAGTCATGCATTTTTGTAGAGAAGCCGGTCATGAGATTAAGTAAATGTTTGTTGGACTAGATTGAGGTTAGAAAATAAAAAGATGTAGGGACATTGGAGCAAACATGACGAACTCGTGAATAGCAAGATAGTGAAGTTCATAGAGCTTTACAGATGGAATGTTACGGCATGAAGATTAAATATGTGGATGTATGGAGGCATGTGTGGTGCGTGGTTGGAGATAAATGCATCGCAATTGTATCCAACTAATTTGGAGATCATTTTGGGATGTATTGTGCTTTTCCACATTCTGGTTTGGCTGTGTATGCCTTGGTTTGTCAGTTTCTGCTATTTCATGCACGCCGAGAAGGTGACAGATGTCCATTGGACAAATGTTTGTAAGGTCGTTCCGGCCAAGTTTTCTGGTTCAAAGAAGTTTGTCAAAGAGGAAGATCGCTGAGTACTTGAGGACCTATAATCATCATCTGTGCTCGAAGGCCGTGAGTCTTGTCGATGGTCGGAGCGTAAAGATCTTTCCAGTGGATGAATTTGAGATGTCGATGGCCACGTGCTTTGGACAACCAACCGTGTTCAAATTTTTGCTCGCTAAGGAGAGCAAATGGAGTTAGCAAAAGTGGGGTAGAGGGGCCAAGGCAAGAACAAGCTAGGTTGAGAAAAGTGAGAAGAGTAAGATGTCAACTACTCAGTGCATTGATATTGAAGCATGAGCATTTGGATTGAGATAACTGAAAGAAAAACATGTGCTTTGACTTCGGTGGCAATTGGATACTGGAGGACAGGGCCTTCTTTCCGAACGGCGAGTGACAAGGCTCCAAACGCGCGGTAGGACAGGGCCACCCTGAGCAATAGTAACGGACCAAGCGGGCAGAATGACGGCGCGTGGCGGACCATTCACAAACAAACGGCAGGGTAGAGCACCGAGCGGGCATCCTTCCTTTCCTTCCTCCTCTTCACGTCACACATCGTAGGATGACGGCGCGTGACAATTTCCGTAGTACCTCCGTGATCGAACTGATTATCACGATTGGTTAGAACAATCTTGATTGGCCGGATCAATCGGAGTTTGCGGGGCAATTGCGACCGTCAAGGTAAACCGTGGTAGGTGGGAAAACTACGGTTGGGTGTAATCATGTTAGACACAGTAACCACGGTCACACATCGTAGGATGACGGCGCGTGACAATTTCCGTAGTACCTCCGTGATCGAACTGATTATCACGATTGGTTAGAACAATGTTGGTTGGCCGGATCAATCGGAGTTTGCGGGGCAATTGCGGCCGTCAAGGTAAACCGTGGTAGGTGGGAAAACTACGGTTGGATGTAATCATGTTAGACACAGTAACCACGGCCGGCAGAACGACGATGATGATGACTAACCATAATCAACATCAACGTTGACGGTCCATGATCGACGGTAACAATTAGTCGTGGGCGACAATTAGTTGTGGGTGCAGTAAATTACGAACGTTGTTAATGGTCAATCGCGGACGACGGCAACACTTAGTCGGGAGTGACTTTGAGGGATTGTCACGAGTGATAGTCAGTCGCGGTCGTCACGGTCTGTAAGATCGGGTGTTGCACATAGGTACTAAATCCTAGAAGTGGTCAAGTGATTAAGGATAATTAGCCAATGCATAGCTAAGTCTATCTAGTTATGACTAAACTAGTTAATTATAACTAAGTTTATCTAGTCATAACTAAGTTTAGCTATAATGTCTATAGTTGGCGGAAAGAATTAGCGGAGTTCTAGAAGAGTGGAGTGAGCACTTCTATTTTGTCTTTTACAAAATTCTAGATTCCAAGGAATTAGATATTTGACTAGAAGCTTGGATTTGATTGGTTTGACTCAATGTATGAAAGATGATTCGCTAGACTAAGTCTACTAATGACTTAGTGGCTAAGAAGCTTGTAGAAGTTTAAAAGCTTCCAATGGCATGTCGCCACCTCAACCTTGAATTCCGGAAACTTCTAGAAGGTTTAGCTAGGCCAATGGCATGTTGCCACATATAATGGGTTAGTCAAACTTACCTAGGTAAAAGTGAGTTGACGGTCCAGTTGACGGAGTCTTGACGGTAAACTTTTTGTAATTGAGTTAGTAAAGATTGACGTTAAACTCTGACAATTGAACTAATCAAGATTGACGATCAACTCTGATAATTGAATAGTGAGGCTAGTCAATCTTGACGATAATCTATGGTAATTGAGCTAATCAAGATTGTCGATAGACTCTCATGATTGAGCTAGTCAAGATTGACGATAAAGTTAATCCACTTGATACGTTGATCAAAGTTATTACTTTGGAGAGTTTTAGACCATATTGTGCTACTATGCTAAAACTTCCTACAAAGTATAAATGTAAGTTATAGAGGTTAACGTTTTCTTAACATGAATTAAGATGGAGATTGTTGAGGTTAATCAAGTTAAGGAATAACATCATGTCTTAGCTATATTTAGCTAGCACGGTCGTCTAGATTAGGCTTAAATACCCTGACTTCTACATGTATATGATGTAAATCTTTTGACAAACATTGAGTAAAGTGCAGTGTGTTCTCGGTGTACATAACCTCTTCAAAGGCGTGAACCATGTTACGTCTTTTGTCGAGTGTTTACTATCACTTTGAGTGTTTTGCACTTACAGTGAAATCATTAGCAATAAATACAATGATGAATATCATTGACATCATATATCAATTTTTCAGAAATAAAATTATTGTTAAAGAAATTAGTCTATCAACATTAACTATCAATTTAATCTACTTGAAAACTTCATCAAAGTTATTCTTTTGAATTTTTTTTAGTAATTCTTATGCTACTTAAATAAAAAAAAGCATGAACCTCAATGACTTTACAAATGATATTTAATCTTGTTAATATCATTTAGAAATTCTTGAAATTTATGATACTCATCTTTATTTTTACAACATAATTTTTTGTTATAACCAAATTTAATTTCAACTTAAGTTTTTTTTTTAAAGTCATGAAAACTTCAGAAGTATAAATATTATATAACTGATAAAATTGATTTTAATTCTTAATTGAAAAATTCTTCATATAAGTTAAATTACGTTTAACTGCACTTATAATTTGAATATGAAAACTGTAATGGATTTAATTTATAAAATTTATCATTAACCATAAAACTCGAAAAATTTCATTATTTAAAAAATATTTAAAAGTATGTGATAATAATATATGAGAATAAAACTATGCAATTTCTAAAATTCAAACATCATTAATGTGCTTTAATGAATTGTGTATGACATAATTTTAGCATTTTAAGTTAAATTGCAATTTATGCATCTAAATTTTTTATATTAACACAATTAAAAAAATATGTTGTGGCTAAAAAACTTAAAATTTCATTACAAAAATATAAATTTTAATCCATTATTAGGTTTGACAAATATATGTATAATTAAGCATATGAAATGAAACATTTAATACTTTTGAATCTATATTTTAAAGAATTAAGTGCACTATGTTGGAGGTTAAAAAAGTGTTAAAGATTAATCACAATTATTTAAATCGTTGAAATAATCAATATGAAATATGGATATGAGATTTTTTAATTGAATTTGGAAAATGTACTAATGACATGTGTTGATTTGAATATTTTTTTGCTGATTCATGGATACAAGTCTTATTCATAATTCAAATCTTGATGATTATTTTAATTCTAAGGTCTCAAAAATATAAGTATACTTAAAATTAATCACAATTTAATAAACTAGATCCAATTTTTATTTCATGTTTTTTTATTGATTGGGATAAGCAAAGACATATGATTTACTTCACTCATTTTGTGATAATAAAACTATTGAAGTTATATAAATGCATCATATACGTCATAAGATTGTGTATTTGTCAACAAATCAAAGCTAGCATTAAAAAATCAGAAGATATATGAAAATTTGCACAAAAATTGAAAAAAATCAAAAATATATTAAATATTATATTAAAATCATATAGAATTTTTATTCTTTGATTATAGCTAATGTGGAAATTAAGCAAGATTATTTATTTGAGGAATTACTACTTAAATAGAACTATGCTAAATTTTTTTATTGATGCAGTTATTGCTCATTATGATTTTGCTATAAATCTTAAGACTGATCAAAGGAATGAATTTACTAATATATTGTGCAATATTTTGGCTGTACTGACTATGCTTTTGTCTTATCGGCTTAAGATTTATGTACAAAAAAATATGAAAAATATAATTATTGAATATAAGATTAGATTGTCATAGGGAAGAAGCATAAAAGATGTGATGTGCTTTTGACCTTGATAGAACTTCATCAAAACGAAACAAACATTGATCTCACAAGAATTCAACCCTTCCTTCGATATGTATTAAAAAACATACAATCACACCATCTAGTGAATCGATTTTGGGTAGACTAAGTCATGTGCTAAAACTATATGCTTCCGTTGAATCTTGAATGAGTGTGTAGCAAGAGTCTAAATAAGATTAAATAGAACAAATACAAAACAGCCATAACTTAAAACCCGATTTGCAGATGTTCATTGACGTCATCAAGTGGTGTTTAAAGGCCCCAACTGTTTGGTCAGAGCTTTTACAAACCTATCACAATATAGCATCAACATGGGTTCGTAAGTTCTGTCCAAAACTTCTGTTGCACCCTAAGTAAAAAATCGCCAAAGGCCCCTCTCTCATATACTTTACTGAAGTCGACAGCATTATTTAGTCTCTTGTGTCCTATTAAGGGAAGGAGGTAGTATTTCTTAGAGCTCAATGTCCGGGAAAAGGGTGCCAACGAGGACTTTAGTTGCTTCTCTGAAAGCTTCAGTCCGGGACGTGTGTCAGTCACGGCCCGCCTCGTTTACCGCCACGGAATCTGGGGCGAGTCACCAATCTCTATCTGAAAATGAATTTGGGAATCACTAATCGCGCTGATCCACGGGTATCCATCTCTTGCTCGCACTTCAGCTCACTATCTTTCATCCGAATCGGTGGCAGAGGCAATCATCGAACATCGTGAAATCATCTTCGCCATCGCCACGAGGTCAAGTGTTTTTTTCGGCCGGCCAATTTCCAGCCATATGCTTCTGACATCAGCTTCACGAGTTTCTCCCTCATGTCTCCGTCTGACTGGCAGGGCTGGGATATTCTGGCCCGGGCGCCACTCCTTCACTCGTCACCGTCTGGTTATTGAGTGAAGGTGATTTCAGGTGGCCGATGACCTCACACCATGAAAGCAGCGGCGGGAGGAGGAGGAGGAGGAAGAAGAGAAGCAACGAGATTTGGGGTAACCCTAAGTTGGGCCAACACAAAAGCATGGAATCTTGCGGCCTCACGCAAAAAGGTTGTGAACACGTGAGTGTGTAAAAGGGGGTCACTGTTGGAATGCAAATCGAACAAGGCGACAAATTCTTGTCTCGATTACTGGATGTTCCTGCAAAATGGTTTGTGGGCTGGGGTACTCCTTAACGAATGTACCAACAGTCGTACTCTGCAAAGCAAGTGGTTTTTGGACCATTTCTTCTCGTGAATCCTATGCTCCAATTGGTCTGTGTCTTGTGGTAACGATCCATCGTCCTTCACAGCAAATCCTCATTGTTTGTTTGTTTGTATCATGTGGACACATTCGCAGGCTTCCAAGGGACAGGGATGCAGCCTTCATCGGAGGCATGTCTACCCCACCCTCCCACTAGTTCACCCCTTGCTTTCACGTCATCTTTGTGCTCACTTCCAGTACTTTTCTCCATCCTCTACCGTACCTACAGATTCTTTCCTTGAGATTACAAGAATGGGTGGATTTCAAGGAGTAGTTTAATGAATGATATGTTTCCAGGCGATACCAAGTAGATAAGTGTTTCGACAGGTATATTCAGAAGATGAGATAGGTGGTCGAAAGTAACAACGACGAGGTACATGCAGTGCAAGTATGCACAGGAATAAAAGGGAAGAATCAATGTCTTTTAAAATCAGTTGAAACACATGGAGGAGTAGAGGGTATCTTTCTCTCTCTTCCTCCTGTTTTAGTGTTATCTCTTCTGGTTTTGTTGTCACAATGCGCCTCACTTTCATTTCCTTTTTTTTCTCTAACAAGCACGTGAAACAAAAAACCTGAATATTTGAGTGTAACACATTTGTCTGAACTTCACTCTGATTATTTCGATCGTCTTATGATTGAATTGATAGTCGTAAACTGTCGAGATGATTGTCTCACACACGTATAGGGATGAATATCAAATTTGTAATTGAGATGCAAAGCTTCGGTATAAAGATACAGTTGCAGCCCTTTACGAATTCTTCTTTTTATGTAAAATTTACAAATAGTATTGACGGTATCTACTTACACATCTAGGTTATGTTCCACCTAAACTGTATCTTTGGTCAGTGGATTCTGATTGGAACATAAGCGGTTTGTACCTCTACCAGTTAAGTTCCATTTATGCCAAATTATAAAAAAAGGTCTGAGAAACTTTTCATTTACATCATTTTCCATGATATTAAATCAATTAGCTTTGAGATGAGATTATCATTCAATATGGTTCCACAAACAATTCAATGTGTATTCAAAGAAAAACAAAGATTTAATCTTCTACATTGACTATTTGCTCAATCTATACTTCCTTCTTTATTAGTTTATATACTTATCTTGATAGTTTACATTTATTAGGAAATATGTGGATATAGGTTTGAGCTTTCACCGATTTCGGTATCTACATATAAACGTATATCAGATTTTAGCTTTAAATTTTTTTTAAATCTGATGAAGTATGTTTATGGTAGTTTATCAACTGTTTAACTGAGCTATAGAAAAAAACATATATTTTGGAACATTGGTATTAGTTTTTAATTTATATTTATATTAATGCAGAAATTTATAATTTATGATTATTATTCTATACTCAAATTCAGGAGACGTAGTGCAAAAGCTAGATTATCAAGAAGTTAAAAATAAGAAATTGTTTCTTTCACCTTTTCACTCTTTTGTGCAATTTGAGGTTCAAATGGTAAAGATGAAATCAAAATAACTAATTTTCATATGAAAAGAATTTTGCTTAAAATTTCACTACTTTCAGTAACAAAAAATTCTGACTGAGGTTTTCAATCAAATGAATTGACAATTGAATAATTAGGCGATAAGAGAAAAGAATGAAAAAAGCAATACTCATTTGTGTGACGGGATTTGAAGGTGTAACTCACACTCCATAACATTATGTATAATTTCAATTTGGATGAGAGCATGAAATGCAAGGTGTCATGTGTATACGGATTCTTTTTATTTAGCATTGGGTTAGGGTTAACTATAATTGAGTGAAGCCTAGGTAGAGGCTAGTTTAGGTAATTCCCGTAGGAGAGTATAGGCGCGCGTACTCAAAGAACCGTCGGTTATTACAATTGAGACTTTCGCAAAGGGAATAACTTTTAGTAAGTGGGCTATGGTGTCCCGCTAACTTCAACCTGTAGTCTAAGAGGTGTGGAGTGGATTTGGCTCGATTTGATGTGACTTTGTGTTTGAAATCAGCGAGATTTGCACCGAACAGTTTACTCTATGTTGTGTTGTGATGCATTTGTGTATGTACGTTCTCGTTCTCTCTATATGTGTGTGAGAGATTACGACATGTCAGCAATGTAAGGTTTATGATTATACATATTCGCACGACAAGGGAAAATTAATCTTTTGCAAATATCAATGTCAAATAATAAATCCTAGCGTTACTTTCCATTTGAGATTTACAATATTCAATTTGAAAACATATGATCTTGAAATCAATGTATTTCAATAAAATTAACTTGAGTTGAACAAATGTTCATGTGAATATGGGTTAAAGATACAATGCAATACTACTATACATTACGCACCATCTTCAAGTTGAAAGAATTGACGAAAGAGAATGTTATATTAATAATTTTAAAATTTGATGTTCTAGATTGAATTATAGCCACTCTGACTATATCTAAGAATAATATATGTTACACATACAATAGTCATGGAATCGTATAAGTTAAATTTGATGGCTTACCTATGTCAAGTAGACGGCACGGCAGGCTTCGATTCAGTTAAGTACTACTGGATCACATATCCCAAGGACTGCTATGGATAACAATGAAGTTCTCAAATTACGAAAAGTATTTCAAGTGGCCAGCATACAATCCATCCCATAATGACTTTTAAGTCAAGTTCAAGAGGCCACCAAGTGATATAGCAAAGAGGATAGAAAGTCCTCTCAGGCCGAACAAACATGAATCCAACTTCTGGACAATGAGAAAAACAATGGCCGAGATGAGAGTGCGCAAAGGTGTGATGTTGTCCGGACGTGCAGACTGGCTTTGCATGTGTACCCTTCAAACTGAACGTGCCAATGGAATCAGTTCTGATGGTGAAAAGATATCTTTGTGTCTACACCTCAGTATTAGTGCCTCACTTCTGTCAGGTAGATTTCTTTCGGGGCATATCATGATTTTCTGACCAAATATTTAATCACATATGATTCAGGTGCATACACTATCAGTAACGTGATGGGCAGGACCTTCTCATGACATAGATGCTTACTATAAAAAATGTTATCTCTATGTTTTCATAAACCTTACACTTTCCGTATCCTTTATTTGACTTATTTAAAGCAACCTACGATTTTTGGTATAAAGTAACCAAAGTTTCAGTGGTGAGATAGAAACGGAAAAACTGGCATGACTGCATGAATAGCAGGTGGTTTCTGAAGACTAATCCAATTAACTCATTAGTGGCTGTCCACAAGATTTTTCGTGCTATCATGGAGTATTTTGGTACAGGTCGCTTTGATTTTAATCACATTCGAAGTATATTAAGAGGCCAATGTATCAAGTAATACGGTGGAAGGGTTAAAGCTGACAGGTTGTGTTGAGAACTTTATGTCCGTTTTGTTTGCAAACTTATTGCGTCAAGTATAAAGGAAAGGAAATTTATGCTAATGGAGAATTTCTGATGTTTTAGATAAGCTTTTGATGTGATGAAAACGGAATCAACTAACAAAGTTCAAACAGTATAAGATTTTCCATTTTGTTTTTCATATATGAATCAAAGATGAAAGTGAGATGTTTGAGAAATTTGTGATAGGTATATCATCTAAAATATCAGTTCTTCAGTCAAGAATTTTCATGAGAGTAGATTAAGGTCCATTTATTTCTAATTTAGCTTGTACATTTGTGTGATAATGAATTTTTTTATCATATGTTGTTTATTGAATTCTTTAATTGAGTAAAGTATGAATGGAGATAAAGAACACTTAAAGCGCTAACAGCATTAATTATTATATCATTTTTGCCTATGTGCATCTTTTCCTTAGTTTTTCAAAAATTAATATTGTGTGCTTTACAAATTTGGATTCTACAAAGTCATTGTATTATTGGATTGCTACTTGATATTTTTGAATCTTTTAGGTAAACAGAAAATCGCCTTCGACTAACCCAAAAGAAACCCAAAAGAAACCTACATTGATGCAAAGGAAAAGGATGAACTCAAAGTTGATTTTATATACATTCCAAGAGTTTACATTCTCAATTGGATACAAAGACGGGTAACACATAATAGCGCATACGCAATGAGACTGGATGCGTGCGTGAAGGAGACTCGATAAGATATTGGTTTAAAGTTCGGATGAACCCAACGACGATGAAGTGCTCGCAATGGATGCCTCCTGAATGATGAAGACATCATCCCTCTCTACACGGAATCACCTCCACGAATTAGTCAGATCTTCGGAGCTGTAACAACGGACAGGCCTTTGGTGTCTGACTTCTTTCTCCCAAGAAAGAGTACTGCATGGTTGACGATCTTGTACGTACGAGGTTAGACAGCGGAGTCAATCGGAGATCTACCACGTAAAAAGGCGAGGGCCACAAACAGGTGAAAGTTATTCCCGCCCTTTATTATGTCCAGGCTTGTCATGGAAAGGGGACGTTACACTGTGCTGGCCTCCTTCTGTTGTCGGCGTCGTATCCGTCACCACGTTACGGAGTCTTGGTAGCATTCAACAGTTCAAGTTCAAGTTCAAGTTCGACCTTCGCGGCGCACGACCGAGTTCAAGTCGTGACAGAGAAGCACGATATTCAAAGCGCGGTCTTTTGACCAGAATCAAGTCCCGGAGTAAAGTAAAGCAAAGAAAAGAGTGTTTAAGAGAATTGCGCGGAAGTATAGCGTTTGGGTGCGTTGCTAGATAAGTCAGAAGAGTACGAGCGGACGTCTGCGGACAGAGTACGGCACAGACGGCTCTGCAAACCGTGACATTCACCCTTCATTACTACGTACGTACTCATGGACATGATGATGATACTCGTACTGCATTACGAGTGTGTAGTTAGAAGTTTTCGCAATCGACATCGTCAGAGTACGTGCATGACGTCCGCCGACGAGACAGACTTTTGGATGCAGTTGACGGCTGGGGGGTGAGCGAGAGCGAGCCCGCGATGAGGCCCAGGACAGAATGGCAAACCAGTAAACAGAGAGCTGATGGAAAGGACATCGGACACCGCCGAGGGAGTGCATCGAATCGATTGGCGCGGGTAGACTCTACGAACAGTTATCGTGACATGATTCCCGGCAGTCTTTTCTCGTCAGAGTTGGGGTCCTCGACTAGTAAAGTAGACCCCGACTCTGACGACTGCACTACGTGACGTGATGGTCATTATCGCCTGTTATCCAACCGGCGACTGTGAGAATAAACTTAAAGTGCACAATGGACGATGTCGTCAATTAGATTAACCAAGTAGGTGACGTACTGCGACATGGAATCGCACACAAGGCTTCCTTCTTGACCACTGGTATGTGAATAAGTCTGGCAGCGCAAACTCTACACAATCAATTCTTTCCCATTGTGGCGGCAGGTGGAAGTCGAGATCGGCATGGAGATGTTTCCATAGCAAGACCGGTTTTTACTTAGGAATCAAATTACAATTTCCCTCACATTTTGATCGGGCATGCACGCAGGCCGATGGACCTGGTGACTCTAAACTTGAGGAGCGCGAGTCAGGTTTCGGGATCTCAGACGAGAATCGCATGAACATTCAACCCGTTATGACTGACTGCACATCGCTGATGGGTCAACAACAAGTCTGTCATGGAGCCCGACCATCTGTAGTCTACATCGAAGGGAGCCTAGAGAACTAGAGCACGCCAAACCTCGCCCCAGCAGGCGCTGCAGCGGCTACTGCTCTGTACTTTCCGCAAGTCTCTCTAATATGACAAGTGATTATATCCTATCACATGTCTCATATATCCGCAGGTCGACACGGGAAGCCCCCACTTCTTTCCTACCCCCTACGCCCGGCGGGATTTAGCTGCCCACGGCTGAGGGTCAGTGGTCAAGTGGTCGAGGGGTCTCGGGGAAAACTCGAGCATGGCAGAGCAGGGAGATGGGAACAGAAAGCCCTGGCCAAGTCTCCAATGGTGAGGGCCTCGAAGGCAACCGGACTCGAGTGCAGAGAGGAATGATGGACCGGATTGACGGATGACCGGGCCACGGTTTTGGGCCTGTCTCGGAAGAACGCAAGGCGTGGGCTGGGCCATGGGTACTTCAGCCGACAGAGGCCCGGCACGGCCCACCACCACAGCACAACCAGGCCTGTCGGAGGGTCCGCCATAGACCGACTGCAAACGGGGATCTGATGTCATCCTAGGACTCTCGAGACAGGGGCCACTCCCATGCTAGCGATGGACGGACCAACCCAATTCGAGAATTCCAACGACTGCCTACCTGAATGAAGAAATACAAGCCTTCAGAGAATATACTCGCATCACGTAAGACCAGACCGGCTTCTAAAGCTTCTTTTTCCTCCTGGACATTCACGAAGAACCATTTCACGACCCGTCTCGCATCTAGGAATCATTGTATTATAAAAGTCCTCAAAGATGTCCAGGTGGATAAGCCATGCTGCTATAGCGGTGATCGAAGCGGCCGATGTTGTAGGTTATCGTTTGCTTGGCAGCCTGCGAGTAGAGCCTGGGACGCGCGTGAGCGATCGTGCGGATTGCTTCTGAGGGTTGCTCTTGTGCTACGGTTTGTGCGCCGCCACGTTGTTGCCTGCCTCGTCGCTTGTAGTCGTAATTGTTGGATGACGGCTCCGCCACCGATGGGCAAAACCGCACCTGCTTCTTTGGTTTGCCGGCGACCTTCCCATTCGCTCCGTTCACTGGCATAGGCGCAAACACTGCGTTAGTTTCTTCACGTGATCGGACCCTCCATTTCAATCGCAAGGACTTGCATGCCGGGCCACTCGACTCCTTAGATCTTTCATCCCAAACAGACAGGCAAGAACACGATTGATCCTACAAAGTTGCAAGGAAAGTCCTATGCGATAAACCAGAAGACGGCGACATTCACGAGACACATTCATCGAGGCAGATAGATCTTCGAGCGCGCTTTAAGCCGACATGTACTAGTAGAATCTGGTGTGTATCGTCCTTGCACGTTCGAAAATGGTGGCAAGACGAAAGCAAAGGCCACCTTATCTAAACCGAGGGAACAGATACCCGCGGGTGAAATTGATCCCATCACGTGAATTTGGAAGCTGACAGTCGACGCAATAGTCGACTTAAAACGCATTGAGATGATCAAGCTGAAGAACAGAGGAGAAGTTCTCGACGCTATTCACATCAGCAATATCAGGAAAGAGAAAGGTGCACGAACTAGAGCCCAATGCTGCAGCGAGCTCCACGCAAAACAAGCTGGAAGAGCGAAACTCTTCACGACAACTTCCCTGCGAAGGATGGTCGGGAAGAAGCAAAGCACAAAAGCAGTTGAACAGTAAGAACGAACGCGCAACCTCCAAAAAGTGTGGGAATGCGAGCTCGCTCCCGTAAGGGGGGCAAGAAAGCATCTCGTCTCACCATGTGAATAAGATGGGAGACAGATGTCGAAGTCATGGACTCAATCCATGACTTCGACATGGATTGAGTCCATGACTTCGACATGACTTGTTGAGAGCACTATAAGTTTCCCAAAATGTGGGAAGCTTCCAAATGTCCATCATAGATAGACACTCGCTCGGGAAGCCTTACAGATAAAGGAACATAGAGTACTAAATGCAACCCAAAGGACGAGTAATCGCAGATACCCATAGACAATGATGTAGAACTTAAAGACTCCTACAGTTAGAGTACGTGGGCGTCACAGACCTGGGCTAACAAAACATCCCACTAACGCGAATTTTGGAGGAGGACGAGCAAGAGAGATTGCGTTTGAGGGCTGCTCATCCTGAAACGAGAGTGAGTTGGGGGACGGAGGCACATCGGCTCTCGTTTCATGAATGCCGTCCACGATTGTTCCTCCAGAGACGGACATAGTAGACTCACCCAATTGGTTTTCAGCTCCATTGTTCACGTTGTCCGGCCTGCCAGACAAATCTGAGGACTTAAGGGAAGAAGTGTCGGAACCCATATTCTCGAGTTGCTCCACAAGCTGATCAGCGTCCCTGAAGCTGGAACGGGCGTCTTTGTGCAAAATGCTGATCAGCGCAGCGTCCGGACATTTCACGAGTTTTTCCTTGATCATTTCCTCTTCTCGAGTTGGCTCGTGAGTGCAGACGGAAGAACGAGAAGACTTTTGAGGTCGTCGAGTCATTTGAGGAGGCAGATGGACGCCTCCTTTCCCAATGTCTTTCCCCTTGCTGGACAGCTCCACTGAGATGACGCCTTCCTTTTTCGGAATATCTCCTCGATGGTGCTCGTATTTCAGACATCCCTTGCCCCTCCTGATGTGGAGAAAAGTCCTTTTCTTGTAGCCGTAGGCAAGAAAGAGAGCTGTCCCGGATACTGCCAGGGCGGCCACCAGGCCGAATCCCCGCGAAATCGTCAACCCACTCATCTTCCTCTCTCACACCTACAACAAAACGGGTGGAATCACTAACTACGCTAAGAACATTACAGTAGGGGATTTTTTTGTCTTGTAACTATGGTCGGCTAATTCCAACAGCTGCTCGAGTTCTATAATATATGCATGTCGCACTTGGCGAAACTATGGAAAAATTTTATTTCAAGTAGATGAGGGACAAGATCCGCTGTACATTTGAAAGGGTTGATGGGACACTCATGAGATTAATTCAATGCAATCTCGGAATCAGGGCAAAGGGATTTACAACTATACTCAATTTGTACTACCTCGCAGAGAGGATGATCGAGTCCAGTAGAAATTTGCTAGAGGTAAGTAGGAACATATGGACCGTTTGGACATGAACGATGAGTGATTACTGACACGCTGCCGGTACGGAGAAAAGGATCGTCGAGAGGGCCTTCGGCGTAAGAGTAATCAATGAATCTGCGCGAGGTTTCCTCCGTCGAACGCGCAACGCATAGTGTAGAGTATTCGTTAGGAATACATGCCCAATCCATGTTCCAACACTCCTGAATCAAGACATACCAATCGATTGGTCTGTACTCTACAACAGCACTGGGACCGCAACCAGTGCACAACACCCCCCACCGTGTATCAAGATTTATCCATCCCCTAATGTCATTGGCTCGTGAACATCGAAAGAAATGCACTCTCTCGCCTCTCACGACAACGCGCGCACGAATTGGACAGCCTCTGCCCTCCCGCGCTCCACGCAGAACTGCTCATCACCTCCCTCACAATTGCAACACTCTTGTCAAAATTATCTGCACCAAACATTCTCCCCATCCGTCCCATATCCCTCCTCCTCCTCCTTCTTCTTCTCTGCTACTTTGACTCCTCAAAGCAAAACAAATCAATCCCTTTCCTCCCTCCGTCCTATCTCTCCGCGTCTCTTCCTCGTCACAGCGACCTACCTCCCTTCCCCTTCCCCTCTCTCTCTCTTTCTCCCTCTCTCTCTCTCTCTGTGTCTCGCCTTTCTTTGCTTTGCTTTGCTTTCGCTGGCCCTCCGTCTGCTCTAATCACTCAACGCTAAATAAAGAAGCAAACAATTCGAAAAAATCGCGCACTCGCTCTGTCCTTATATGGCCTGACGGGCCTCTCGACGAGAGCGTCTACTGGTTACGGGCAGACGAGAGTCTGTGCTGCACACTCTGCCATGCCCGCGCGTCAGCGGAAACAACAACAGAGGGCGCAGAGGACAGCGGAGCTCGCGAGCAACAATCGGTGGATACCATGTTGCTGCTCGGCGTCATCGCAAGGCCTGGACCCTTCATCGCCCGGAGCTTCGGAGGCCTCCTCCTCCCGCCCTCCCCCATCGATCGGCCAAAGGGTGCGTCTTCCGAGCGATGACGCCCAAGCCTCAGCCACGAGCGAACAAGAAGCAAAACGACGAACGTTGGCAGGAACGCCCTCGGCTCCCGAAGGCGGAAGCGCGGAGGGCCAGGGGAGCGGGGCGGAGGGCGAGCCAGGGCCCGGGGAGGAGCCTACGAAGGCGAGGGTGGTGGCCAGATCCGTGCCACATGGCATGGCCCCATTAGCTGGCCGCATGATGGCACTCAGTCAACTTGAGCAGAATCGCGAACCGGAGTTGCGAACGCTTTCGATGGCCTCGGTGCGGATAAAGCGAAAGCGAAGAGCCAGAGGACGATGTGGCGAGCGGAGACCGATCGCCGGTGGGACCGACGGCCTCGATCGACGCCTGCGTTCCGAACTCACTCGCTCCGTTATTCCCCGCTCCCGCTCCTCCGTCACCGCCGTGACCGTGAGCAGAACGCTGCCGTCTTTTATTTCTGGTCAACACGCGTCCCTTTCAAATTAGAGTCCTCCATCTGGATTTCGTCTTCGGACCCATGCCCCGGACCGGTCCGTCCCCTCGCACTAACTCCTCTCCGCTCGCTCGGGTCAGAACGTTACCCAACCACAGTGGACCCAGGTCGCCCCAGTACGTGCGTCTAGCTGACTGCAGCCCGGAAGCTTCGAACCCAGGGTGACGAATTATTCGCGAACTCCGCTCCTCGAACCTCGTGAAAGTTCGGCCCAGTAATTTCGGCTGAAATTTCACACCTCGACCTACCCGCATGGCAATTAGGTAGCGAAGCGCGGTCGAAGGAGCACATGAAATACACGTATGCTATAATTACGTTCCTCGGGCGACATATTACTCACGAAACAAAACGGCCTATAATTGGCCATTTTGCATGCATCCCCAGCGCTTTCGGTCACTCCACGAGGCAAATCTTATCTATCATCGTGGTTCAAGCCTGTGACCTCATACGTCTGTCTCTACTCCTCCTCCGGTACATCTATCTCTACGTGCTTCTATTCTGTTTTGTTTGTTGAGAAATTGGGATACGGGGCACTCGCTAAAATAATACATGTGGAGAGCTTGAGACTCATGTACCGGCACCAGTCGGTCAGATGATTGATTTTGTCCGGGCACGAATCTGGGACACAACTGGGTGGGAAGACGGAATGTTATCCCCAGTTCAGTCAGCTGACATCTCAGTATCTTTTATCCATTCGATCCAACTTCACGTTGGTTAATCAACCATATAATATTCTACTTCGGCATATATTTTTTTTGCCTTTCTTCTCTGTTCTGATTGATGGCTTTCCCATCTGGTATGTGTGCCATGCAATATCCCTTTTCGCTAATCTGCTACTTGCCTGTGTCAAGTAAAACCAAAGTGAGGACTCGTTGTAAAGTCTTGATCACAGCACTTTTGACACAATCTGTTCCTGCATGAGGCAAGCTCTTGTACCCAGAGCCACGAAGCCTTCGAGTCTTCGTTCGTCGAGTGTTCGATAAAGTCAAACCGTTTGCCAATGGATTGGTCCATGATAACACTTGATGACCGTCGAGACGAAAACGACTCTTCATGAATAAAGAACCTAAATTGTATTCCACTTTTGCCCATGGAATAGTTTGATGACATCCAAACAGGATTTTCTCACGTCGGCGATCAACTTAGGCGGGATTGACAATATTCTAAACTTGTACACCGGTGAGTGAATATAAGGTCATTGTCCTCAGCTTCTCACGGAAACTTTACAAACATAAATAAAAGATTTTTAGAGAAAGATGTCGTCGGTTTCAAGAAAGATAATGCTGGAAAGTAACATCGTATTTTTTCACTGTTAGGGTTTGGATAACTTATCAAAGGAAGGAAGTTTAAGAAAATCTTCTGAGAAGCTTCTCAGAGGATTAAATCTGAAAATTCAATCAGGCTTTCAGTATATACTAAGACTATGGAAATATATCAATAAAAATGTATAAAGGGTTTAGAACCTACCTATATAAAAATTCATTGTCTATAGGTTTTCTTTATACTCTTATGTGCTTGTGACTATTTGGTTCCTTCTTCGTGCACCTTATGGAGGCGGCGGCCGAGGCACGCATTGAATTCCTCCAGAAAGGAAAATTGTGATTGGGTTAGAACTTCAGTGTGGGTTGCTTGAACAAGTGGTCTGAATTTACAACTCTCCCTTTAAAGTCAGGAGAGAGAAATAAAAGTACATATAAAATGGTAGAGTCTGATTTCGCATTTCGGCTGGGTAATCATGAACCAAATGGCGCAGCATTTACATGGACAAAAGGTATAGCCGATCTCAATTCGGTCCGTTCGATCGGAGCAGTGCACCGCTGGATATGAATGTTGGACCGAAGCACTGCACGAGATAGATAGATAGAGTGCGGACTCGGGCACAAAACGAGCATGTCAAAACAAGGGATAAAACACATGTCAAATGTGACATTTCCGCTCGCCGATGGTCCGTCCTATCACGCTTGCATGCAGCTCAATTACAGTTGTGTGCCGCGACCTTTTGCCATTGACCAAAACGTTACTTGCGTTGATTTTTTCTTCCATCCTCGTCCGCTTTGCACCCCTCCTGAAACCACAGTGCACACGATGCGTCACAATCGGATTCCACAATGCATTCTGCGATCTCCGGCATCGGAGGCGGAGGCAAGAACGGCGAAGCTCACCAGGTACGCACTTCATTCTTCTTCCGGGGCAACGCAATTCACGCAAAAGAGACGAGATGGCTCAAGATTCTGCTTGACCTTTCTGCTGATCGATAGGGTTTTCCCGCCGGCCAGGGTTGTGCCTTATCGCCATAGGCCCCTAATGATTTCCAAGTGTGTACGCAATGGACCTCCCCTGCTCTTTATTTTCTCTCTAGACCCGAGTCCTCGAACATCCACATGGGCGGTTACGCCCGCCTTCGGACGAAGGAGGCGAGGAGGCTTCGACGGAATGCGCCTCGGCTTTTCGCTTTTGGCTTTCTCAGAAGAAAGGGAGATTGGGGCTTTGTGGAGTAACTTAGAGCAAGGATTTAGCATTGAGCAGATTGAGGCCGAATATATTTTATAGACTAACCGCGGTTCGAAGGACCTATCTAGTTACGTAGACATCTATATCGACAACTTCAGTGCCATCTGGACGGCTAGAAATGTTTCTCCCTCATTACGACCCCGTTGATCGTCGCCGAAATTGTTTTTGTCTTTCACAAAAATTTCCCACATATGGCTCAATTTTTCTCTTATTTTGATGCTAGGCTCCGGGATATATATTGAGTCTCCATGTATGTCACGGAGTATTCTATCATGACATAGAATACTCTTAGGCGTCATAATTGTCACAGTTTTTTCACGATAATACAAGCTCACACTCATACACACATGACGCAGACAAGAGCATTTATCAATACATAGACAAAGGAATAACATGGTTAGCCACTGCGGAGTACACGTAACTATAAGTTTTACTTCAGTAAAACTTAAAATGTTTGAGTATAGGTTTGGTTCGCTCTCCTTGATAGATAACAGCAATAGCTGAACTAACGAGCAGAATCCTAAAGTCTAAGTACGGTTTAGCTACCTGAATTTAGTTCAAATTTGATTATAAATCACCTAAAATGCAAGTTGCAGTTTTTGATCAAGAAAAAAATGTGTCTTCTACTATGAAAATTACCAAGTTGTATTCAATGACAATTGAGTGATATACATATTATTGTGGTTGATTGAATCTTTCCACTTTGAATATACTCAGTCATAGAGAGTTTCTAACATCCATGAGAGAAGAGTAACAAAGATTGAAACGTATTTCCTCACAAGTTATAGTACCAAGTATTTCAAAATCAAATAAATAAGAAACTTGATTTATCACATACTTCACTTCATCAATCCAATTGTTTGAATTTCATTGTATTTTATGATCTCGACTTTACTCTTGGAAAATATAGCATTAAAATTTATATTTTGATAGCCATTTTTCAAATGATTGTACTTTGTAATCAAATTTAAATTCCCACAACAGATTGAATTGAAAAATATCATTTATTCATCGGTGTTGCAGTACTTTTATCCTCATCATTTATATCAAACTTTGTTTTCACAAATCAATTTCTTGCAATGAGATTTATTCAAATTTATGCTTAAAAAATACTGGGTGTTATGATAATTTTATTTACTTCTTGATAACCTAAATTCAAATATTTTTCAATTGATAAATATTATATCCAAAAAAAATTCAAACGTCTCAAGTGTGTCAAAGTGTTATTCAATAACTTCAATGTTGACTACTTTATGATTAATTTCATCCATATTTTTTTTTAAATAATTTCAATCTAATCAAGATGATGAGGTCCAAATTTTTTACCTTCATAAAAAATGACTAAAAAAATATCCATGTATATGTTGTGTATATTGTTAACTAATTTGCAACGTTTGTTTTGAGGTAAGTAAATGATTTTGATGATTGGAGTATGTTATTTGAGATTCTTGAACGACAATATCATGTCAAAGTGCTGTCAAACAGGTTGTATGACTTATTGAAGTTAATGAGTTTTGGATGAAAGATTGTGACACAAAAATTTTAAATCATATTGAAAATCTATCCTGATCTATTCATACGAAATACTAGTTTACTTTCAGATTTTTTGTTAAATACGATAAATTTTGAAATTTTTATTAATGAAATTCATGACATTTTTTCAAACATAATTATATTTTGTAAAGCGTTCAAAACGTCATTTGAATGCTTAGACAA